CAGAAGAATTTGGAATATACAACCGGAAACCTGGAATTTTCTGGCCCATTTTCCGTAAGTGGTGCTAGGACAATTTGCAGCAACACTGGGGAGAATGAGCTTCCATGCAGTCTATAAACAAATGAACCCCAACACCGGTATTGGAGAATCTCTCCTTTCCACCAACAGTAACTGCAGTTCTGACTTCTGGAATATTTCTTTTCCTGGTTTTCTTTATAGTTTGACTCCCTGTCACTGAACCATTAACTTTGCTGTTTGGAATCCTGCGTAAGCAGAATCACACAGCACATGTTCTTCCGTTCGGCATTCCATCTTTCAGCCATGTTGTGGGTGATGTGTTGTTGATGATCAGCTGTGAATGATCTGTTTTCTTAGCTGTAGAATAACTGTAGAGCATAGAGAGATCACATTATGTTTTTCTCTTCTGCCGTGTATGGGCATTTGGGGTGTTTCCAGTTTGGAAATCTTAAAAACAGTGCTGGTCCAAGCATTCTTGGATGTTTCTCCTTGTCCGTCAGCACACATTCTGTGGGGTGTTTTCCAAGGACTCAGGATTGTGCATCATTGGATTGGTTTATCTTTATTTTTTCAGGCACTGCCAAGTTTTGCCAAGGTATTGCCCAGTTTGCACGCCTCCTAGCAGTGTAAGAGAGGCTCAGGTCTTTGCCAGCACTTGGTAGTGTCAGAATCTTTAACCATCGGAAAATGCACTAGTATTTAATTGGGGTTTAAGTTTATACTTCTCTGAATTCTAATGAGACTGATTGATCATTTTCCTGCATATTATTGTTCTTTTGGATTTCTCGTTTCTATTAAGGTTTCTGTCGATTTCTCTCCTGGTTTGTCTCTTTCTCATCAGTTCATACTAGTTTTTATATAGTCTATATATGAACTCTTTGTTTCTTACATGTATCATAAAAATATATGTGTTACACATGTATTTTCCCACAATTTCACATTCTTAGTGAACTCTTCTGATGAATCAGCTTCATTCTGATGAATGAAAATGTTAATTGTATTGTACTGCAATCTTTTGTTTCAATAGCTAGTGTTTTTTAAGTTTGGTTTCAGAAGTCTTTATTCCCCACATCACAAAGGTACTTTACTCTGTCATTTTCTAGAAGCTTTTATATTTTCCTGTTCACATATAAGGTCTCTGATTCACCTGGAATTGGGTTTTGCACGTGTCGTGAGGTGAGGCTCATTCTGCTCCCTATAGTTGCAAATTGTCCTAGCACCCTTTATGGGAAAGACCATTCTTTCTCCACTGTTGTGCAATGCGCACTTTGTTATAAAGCCAGTGTCCGTAAGGGGCTGTTACTGGGCTGTCTCTTTTGCTTCATTGCTGTATTTGTTTTCTCTTGTGCCAAAAGCACCTTGGCTTTAAAAGAAGTCCTGACACCCAACAGGGACAGTCTTGACAGCAGGCGTGCTGCTTCACACGTGTCTAGAGTGGTCTTGGTCCATTTTTATAAACTATTTAGAATCAGCAAAATGTCCCCTCATGCTTTTATTATATCAGTAATAGTATTAAAGTTAAATAATTCTTTCTGCATCAGAAAATTCCAAGTTTCCAGTTACATTTTCCAAATTCTTGTGGTTACATGCACCTGGCCTGACCCTTTATGTAGCCTTAGTGAGTCCCACAGTCGGACTGGAGAGTCCATAGCACAGAGCCGGCCGCAGAAGGGCTTGGGGAAAGAGCGCTGCTGAAGGAAAGAGGAGGTTTGAGTCCGAGTCCCAGCTCTGCCCCCAGGTAGCCAGGTGAGCTCGGGCAGTCCACTGCCAAGAAGAGTCTCTCACTACTTCCTCTGCACTGCCACCGTGACTAGTGTGCTCATCCGCATATCCTTTCAACAAAGGGCAAACTTACTGTCCATCAGCACTGGGGCGAAATAGGAATGTAAAGAAGAATAAGGCATCATCTCTAGCTCAGGGGCTCCTGAGCCTCAGGGAGACCTGTTCCCAGCTCCAGCCCCTCTCACTCAAAGATAGCTTTAGGAAATGAGGTATGGAGGGTGTGGTGACTTGGAAAGAGAAGGACTGGGAACCCAGGTGAGTGCCCAACCCAACCTGGTGGAAAGGATGCCTCCGGGACTGGTGTCTCCACAGCAGGCCACTGCTGTTCCCTGTTCAAGCCACCAGCCCTGCTCACCGGACCATAGGGCCCTGTGGGGCTCCTGTGGACGGCCGAGGTCAGCAGCTTGGGGGACGTCCCACCTTCCCTGCACGAGGGCAGGAGGCCTGGGACCCTGGAACCCCCGGCTGTGCTGTAATGGTGATGTCAGTGATGACTGTGATTATTATGATTTCACTGTCAACCCTTTTGTCCCCAAGCATGGGGGTGACAGCACAGTCTTGATGCACCCTCTGCAGCTTGTTGCTTGTTTCTCTTTTTCCAAGAACACCGAAGGCTCGGTCCATTGACCTATTAAGTGCTAATCGTAACTCTCACTATTCAGTCTGTAGGGCATGGATCTGTGATGAATACATCGCTTGGGAGAGGTATTTAGTTTTAAGGGAAGAAAGGCTTCTGATGATGGGTGATAGGGGAGGTGCTGGGAGTCGCAGCGGATGATGACTCAAAAGGGTAGGCACAGCACCCTTGGCGAGAGAACTGTGTTCCTGCGCTCTGCCTCCCATTCTTTTGGGAAGGCCTGAGCAGTGAGTTTGCTTGCTGAGCCGACTTTAGAGTGCCTGTAACTCTGACTGATGGCTTCCGACTGTCTGCAGCCTGGATGGGAGGGGAAGGCTGGCTCCAGGACTCTCTCAGGTCTGGCATGGGTGCCACTCCTGACTTGGACAGCTGCTCTCCATGCCCTGCTTCCTGCTGCTTTCTCAGTTCCTCTTCCTGCTGCTCTCCTCCCTACCCACAGCCCCACTAAGGACAGCCCCCAAATTCTAGTCCATCCCCCAAAAATCTTTTCCAGTAACATCCCCTGCCCCCAACTTTGCGTCCTTGGTTATCTTAATCTAAGTTACGGCAAACCAGAGGTAATGTGCTAATCATGCGAATGTCACCCCCTCCAAGTGACACGTTTTCATTTTTTTTAATGAGGCATATTAACAGAAATAAAATTCTGTCGTTTCTGGTTGGCCGTGGAGTGACCATTTGGAAGCAGTTGAACTTCCAGATTTCTTCATGTCCGAGTAGGATTTTGCTCAGCCCTGTTTCTGTGATATAAACCATATTTTCTCCATTCTTTTCTTCACCACACATATCCTATAAGCCCTCTTCAAGTGATTGCTTGGGGGTTCTGGGTTCCTGTCTGTAAATGTGTGTGAGTTCGTTCAGGTATAAAGAAACATCTGAGGCTGGATAATTTATCAAGAAAGGAGATTCACGTGACTCATGGTTTTGCAGACGGTTCGGGAGGTATGGTGCTGGCACATGCTTCGGGTGAGGGTCTCAGGAAGCTTCCAGTCATGGCAGGAGGCAAAGGGGGATCCCTGGCAAGAGCCAGAGCAAGAGGGAGGAGGGGAGGTCCTAGACTCCTGTAAGTAATCAGATCTGGTGTGGACTGAGTGAGAATGTACTCATGGCCAAGGCAGCGGTGCTGAGCCATTTGTGAGGGGTCTGCCCCACACTTTAATACCTCCCACTAGGCCCCGCCTCCAACATTCTGGATTACATTTCAACATGAGATTTTTAGGGGACAAACATGCAAACTGAATCACCTGGCTTCCTTTGCCCCGTATTGAAAAACCGTTTGCCTTCCACTGTGTAGTTTAAATTGTTTTTCACCCCTCCAGTTCAGTGAGCTGGGGCGGAGGGAAAGCTTCAAGTCAGTGAGGCCAAGATTTTTTACTGTTTGGTTCAATGCTGAGTCCCCAACCCTGAGAATAGTCCTTGGCACACAGAAGGAGCTCAGTGAACCTTGATCGAATGAAGAAATATGTGATTGGTTCCACAATGACATCACCGATGTTTGAGGCTGAGTTGATCTACCCCTATGAATGGGCTAAGCTGGAGAGCTACCCTCCGCTGGGCTTAAGCTCCCTGCAGTGAAAGTTGTCTCTCACCCTGCCCCTCAGGTGCCCGTGTGGTCAGTTAGCACTCACCCTTGGAGCTGCCTGGGTTGGAGTTAGCCATGCATGGACTGGCCTCATCAGATGGCCAGCTTCTAAAGGGAAGGGCCCCTTCTTTATTACTGTTTTTACCGCCAGTGTTTGGAGAACTGTCAGTGCTCCAGAAATGTCTACCAAATTGAAATTGAAATAGATACAGCCTGTGGGTTTCAGTTTGGGATCAGTACTTGTTTCCGAGTGTCCCAAAATGTCTGTGTAAAAGACCATGTATTATATCCATCAGATGCTTACGCGCTGTCCAGAGCCTGGCATCTCCTCAAGTCCTACAGAAAAGCTTAATTCTTGAACAGCTGTTACAGCCACAGCAACAGTGGAAACCGATAATAACTTCAAAACGTGGGGAGACATTGAAGAATTGAAGTTAATAAATATGTAATTGCATGTTAGATATCTACCACTGTATGAACTTTGTGATTTGCTAAATTTCAGACTCATAAGTTTTATTATATTTAAAAATAATTTGCGGCATAGATTATCCTAACTTCACAAAAATTCCTGAGTTTACGCAATGGATGCCAAGGGACGTGAGCCAACTATAAATTAAACAAGTTATATGAAGCCAAATGAATGTAAAAGCAAAATTATAAACGTCTTTTCAAAACTGTGGATGGCAGAAAAAGTAATGTTAGATATGGATGTATTTTAATATGTTTGATGTGGGGTGAAGTCCTCTGAAAGCAAGGGGCACAAATTTCAAAGCAACCTCCCAAAATACTATAGAATTGTAGCAAAATATACAGTGCTTTCGCAGAGTTTCCAACAATTAGAAATATGTGCTTTCCCTTCTAGGATTTTTAGATTAATTCCTCCAGTGTCATCTGTAAAAGCAGACAGCTCGTCTCATTAGTGTAAAATAATCTCCTTGACCTTTGGTGATTTGTAATCTATTTTTTTTCATCATCTTCTTTCAGGAATCCTGTTCACGATGCTGGTATTCGGACCAGCCTGCGGGTTTATCCTGGGCTCTTTCTGTACCAAAATCTATGTGGATGCAGTCTTCATTGACACAAGTAAGGAATACCTCTCTATGTCTACCTTCTATCCACAAGCATTTCCTCCCTCCTAAATGCAGCTTCCGCCTATGGGTTCTAAAGCCTTCTTGCTAAGAGACAGTCTTGATGCCACTGCCTGGAGCTGAGGCTCGCTTGAGGTTAGATCAGAGAACATGAGTGTTGGTTCAGAGGGTTGACTCAAGTCTGAGTCCTGCAGCATCTCCCTAGAGGCCGAATATCCCCCAGTAACTGATTTTACTCCTTAAATCTGTATTTTCCTTATCCATAAATAAAGGGTAACAATAATTATATCTGCCTGGCAGAAAAGAATTTAATGAGAGTTTCTGTGTAGAAACACACAGCACATGCTCATTGAGTTGGGGCCCGTTAGCCGCTGTGAGGATCCTGCTTTCCAAACTCAAAGTTGAAGCTTGTGTTCTGGAAGTGCAGGTGTACAAACCGGGTCAGTGAGACAGAGTATTGGAAAATCCTTTTGGAAGTCACTGTTGTGGTGCCCTTTGTGAGGAAATGTCCACATTCAAAACCACTCCAAGTGAAACAGCTTCTAGCAGGAAGTGCGAGTACATTTCTCAGAACACTCTGAGCTCCCCAATCCATGGCTGTGGGATCGAATGGGATGCCAGATCGATGGGTTAGGGTGACAGGCAGTCCCCAGACCTCAGTGATCTTATACAGCTAAGGCTTATTTCTTTCTCACGCTACATGTCCGGTGTAGGTGAGCAGTGTCAGAGGCAGGGAGACTTGGCTCATCGTGGTCACCTATCGATCTCTTCTCAGGATCCATAAGCATTCTCAGCCCCCGGGCCCAGGCTGGCAGACGTTCCATCCTGACCCCAGCTTGTGCAGTTACCAACTCAGGAAACCTCTTTCACTTTGGCCCTTGAAGCCTCTACTCAGAAATGGCATGCAGTGCTTCCCCTCGTATTTCATTAGTCAAAGCAAGTCACGTGGGATGTTAGTTTTCTGTTGCTGCGTAAGAAATGACCCCAAGCCGGCCAGGCGTGGTGGCTCACGCCTATAATCCCAGCACTTTGGAGGCCAAGGCAGGTGGTAGATCACATGACAGGAGTTTGAGACCAGCCTGACCAACATGGTGAAACCCCATCTTTACTAAAAATACAAAAAAAAAAAAAAAAAAAAAAAAAAAGCTAGGCGTGGTGGCATGCACCTGTAATCCCAACTACTCGGGAGGCTGAGGCAGGAGAATTGCTTGAACCTGGGAGGTGGAGGTTGCAGTGAGCCGAAATTGCACCATTGCACTCCAGCCTGGGTGACAGAGCGAGAGTCTGTCAAAAAGAAAAAACAAAAACCCAAACCATAATGACCTAAAACAGCAGACATTTTTTTATCACACAGTTTTATGTGGTTTGTTTTTTGTTTTTGTTTTTGTTTTTGTTTTCCAGTGGGTGTGGAATATAGAACCAGCTTCTCTGGGCATCTGTAGCTTCACTGGGCAGTTGTAACCTTTCATGAAGCTGCAGTCAAGGTGTTGGGTCTTGGGGCATCCCAAGGCTCCACTTGGGGAGGATTCACTTCCATGCTCACTGCCATGGGCCCACAGGAGGGGGAGATCTTGCAGTGACACCCCTGAAGCAAATAACCCAAGAGAAGGTGAGAGAGAGCCTCTGAGGCAGGAGCCACAGCCTTTTTATAACGTAATCTCAGAAGTGACGTCTCATTACTTCTGCTGTATTTTGTTTCTTAGAAGCCAGTCACTTGCCCAGGTTTGTTATTGAAAGAGAAGGGATGATTACACAAGCACCAGAACACAGGTGGCAGGGATTTCAGGGGACCATCTGGGTCATTGCCTGCCATGTGCTGTCACATCTCTGCTTTGCATCTGAAATGGATCACTGTATTTCCGTGTAGCTTAGCGTGTAGCAAAACCATGTTTCCTTTCTCTCTGAAAACAGCGGGCGAGAAGCCATTCCAGCCTTTGCTTCTCGTGCCGATCTAACCTCAGGATCAATAAGAACTCTCAGTCCCCGGGTTCTCAATCCATCATCTCTTGACAGTGCTAAATTTACTAATTCACCCCAAAGAAATAATGTGGTTTTAAATCCAATCAAGTTGCTCTGTGATTCACTCCATTAATCCCACTGATACATTTACTTGTAGCTAATGATGTTACAAATTTCCAAGTGGGGAAAAAAAAAATCAGAGGCAGCCCTATGTATTTACACTTTTAAAGTGCTGAATCTGTTGGGTAGGTGATTGATTGCTGCTGTGTTGCAGCAGTCGGCTGGCCCTTTGAACCCAGTTCCTAGGGAGTGTGGTAAGGGGTGGGCAGGGAAGTGACGGGACACATGAGGTGAGTCAGTTTCCATCTTGCTCATACAGATAGGCCAGCTTCCTCTGCCGCACCCAAGGCAACACCAGACAGGGCCAGCAGAGGGGACAGAGAGGAGGCCTACTCCTGGTGCAGTGAAGAAGCCGCTTTGACGGGTAGCAAAGTGGCCAGGTGGCCTATTTTGCCCGCAGTGGTATCAGTGGTGGCCTTGAACCAAAAGCCTGTGAATGATCAGAATGTCAGAGCTGCAGAGAGCCTCAGACATCATTCTTTACACTTTCATTTTACAAATGAGGAAACTGAGTCACAGAGAGGGGAAGGGATGTCCCCAATCGAAGAAATGTATCTCTATAAAACCCAGATCTCCTGAGCCCACCTATGGTTCTTTCCACTTCAAGATTTCACTCACCAAACTCTCTTGTGAGAATGAAACGATATCTTTTCTCAGTGCCTGAAATGGCCAGTGGGTAGACAGATGGCTGGAGGGGGCTTAGCCCATCCACTCCTACTTCCCTCCGTCTGCCGAGGCTGTTCCTTCAGACTGGAATGCTGTTCCCACCTTGCTGTGTTCAGCATCTCTGTTTGCCTGTGAAGGCCCAGGCTGGAGCAGCATGACCCGTGGTTCCAGGCTCTTTGGCTACTTGATGCCTGCAGGGATGTAAGGCAGATGGGCTCTTTTCAGTTCCGTCTGGGCATCTTGCTGAGGGCAGCCTTCCCCACCAAGTGACAGCGGACCTTCCTTTCTGTTTCTAAAGATCACAAGGTGCATCCTCAGTCAGGATCTTTGTGTCCTTCCCAAAAGCACCGTGAGGGTTGGTGCTGCTTGTACCACTAGAGGGCAGAAGAATCCCATTTATCCTGTTAGGGAGTCAGCCGCAGCATGCTGCCCTGTCCACCAGTTTTTACTGTTTCTAATCTTGTGACTGAAACTTGCCGCCCGTGGGTGGGTTTGGGCTGTATTTGGGGAGGGTATTCTTGATTTCTCGAGGGCCTTCCCTGTCTTTTCCTTGCTTTCGTAAAACAGAGCCTGAGGGCTGAGCAGTGGATGGGAACCTTGCTGTAGGCATGAATATGCAAGAGCCACACGCATGGCCACATGTTTCTGAAGTCCCAACCCAGACTGGGCTCCAGGAAGAGCAGCAGCTGAAATTGCGGAGAGGCGGCAAGGCAGGTCCACAGAAGGCCTGGTTGGGGCAGTTGGAGGAGGGAACTGGTGGCGTCCATGACATAGCCTGGTGCCGGCATGAAGAGGAGACTCCAGTGAGGAAGCCTGGTTGAAACTTGTGGGGAGATGCAGCTGGGGCTGCCAGGGAGGGTTGGTTGTAGACATGGGCCAGCTCTGGAGTGAGAGCCCCCGTGCGGCCCTTGCCTGGAGGTCCCAGCTGGCTCCGCTTAGACGTGGGCTTCTGCTGCTGCTGGCTCTCATCCGCGTTTGATCCCTGCCTGGCTCCCATTGCTCCTCAGCTCAAGGAGACAGTCCCTCCCCTGAGAGGTGGGGGAGGAAATGACAGTGCCTCCAGAACTTCGTTTTTAGGTTTTCTTTGTTCAGTTGAAACCCAGGTAAGAACAGATCTTGAAAAAAAGAAGGAATTGGTAGCAGAGGATATCTCTAATCACTGACTTGTTCAACCTTCACGACGTGGGTTTAGCACAAGAAGTGGAGTGAAATCACAGCAGCCATGGCTGGGTCCCTTATTAAAGCGATCGAAATGCAGCCTCATTGGAGCCTCAGCGCATTCTCATGGGAGTGTAAGTCCTACCATTAGACGAGGCATTATCATACCATGGTTAAGAATTCAAGCACTGGAATCAGACTCCATTTGCATCCTGACTACACCCCTTACGAGTCCTGTGATTCCGGCAGCGACATGGCATACACATCCTGAGTCTGTGTGTGGATGGCTGGAGTTTCTCATGCAAAGCGTTTAGCACAGCACCTGGCGTATGGTAAGCACGCAATCCATACGTACCGTGAGAAATCTGAGAGGTTAACAGTTTCCGCAGCTAGAGATAGAGCAAGGATTCATCCCCAGGCCTGCCTGACCTCAAAACCACACTCTTAACAGAACAGCGGGCTTCCCTGAAACAGCTCCAGGAATTTAGCCAGCAGGCGGCTCCCTTCCCTGGACAGAGGCCTCGCTGAGACGCCCTGGCCTCGCCAGCACGTTGGTGCAGCCCTGTCCTGAGGCTCACACCAGCCGGCCCTCGCAGACGGCTGCTTGGCGTTTGCAGCTGGAACAGGATGCGGCCATCTGTTTGCTTCACCAAAAGGGTCAGCAGACTGAGAGCCTCCTGCTCTGCCGTCCTGAGGGCCAGCTGCTGCCAGATTCCTTCATTTTGGACTACTGAGGCCAGTGGCTGGGATTCTAGGTGTTCAGTGCCACCCTCCAGCCTTAGCTCCTTCCTCTTTCTCTTTTCTAATTAGGTTTGTAACTTAATGATACTCTTGGAATTCTTGAGTCTCATAGCAAAAGAGGTTAAACAAATAGGTAAATTAACTACAAAAAAATAAAATAAAATCCCCACAAAGCCATGGTAATTTGTCCATACAGCCCAGGAGTGAGAAGAGAATGTCCCCTGTTTGCTTTAAGCTGATCTTCTCACAGTCTCAGGTATCCTCATGAGTGTGTGGGTGGGTCCGTCGGCTGGTTTTAAACTGGTTTAACTCTTTTCCCAGTGACTTTTCATTTGACTTTGGAAATAGGTAAAAATCTCAGTGAGCCCCATAGTTCAGTTGATGTTTGGCAGAGGGAGCAAACAGCTCTCAACTTACTCAATACAAGCAACAAACTAGGACAACCCAAAGTCAGATCCAAAGAGTGGAAGAGATAAAAATGGATCTTGTAAGGCCGGGCACAGTGGCTCACACCTGTAATCCCAGCACTTTGGGAGGCCGAGGCAGGTGGATCTCCTGAGGTCAGGGGTTCAAAGGCCAGCCTGGCCAACATAGTGAAACCCTGTCTCTACTAAAAATACAAAAAATTAACTGGGCATAATGGTGGGCACCTGTAATCCCAGCTATTCAGGAGGCTGAGGCTGGAGAATTGCTTCAACTCAGCAGTTGGAGGTTGCAGTGAGCTGAGATTGTGCCATTGCGCTCCAACCTCAGTGACAGAGTGAATCTCTGTTGAGACAGGGAGAGAGAGAAGGGAAGAGATAGAAAGAAAGAAGGAAAGAAAGGGAAGGAAGGGAAGGAAACGAAGGGAGGGAAGGAGGGAGGGAAGGGAGGAAGGAAAGAAGGAGGGGAAGGAAGGGAAGGAAGAATCTTGTAAAGGAGAGAAGCTTCTATACCTGTTGACACCTATGTCAGGACAAGCCCTAGACGTGCATAGACATTTCATGGTCCACCCAGCAGACGGCTCTCCTTGCTCTACTCTGCTCCCTTTTTTCCCTTCCCCTTTACCGGACCCTCCTCCCAGTGAAATGGCATATTTTCTCGTGTCTGGAGTGACCACGGGGTAGATTTGTGGCTTCAGGAGGGAGTCGAGCCTATGCACTTAGAGTCCCTGAGTATACCACACCTTGGCTCAGCCTGTTGCCGCAGCCTGGGATGCTGTCTCTGCCTCATTTATTCAGCATCTTTCTTCATCCACGTGCCTGGTTTTGTTGGCAATCGCGTGCATCTACGTAACTGAGACAGATGGGTGCCTTTGGTTTTGTTCTGGGCCTCTTACTGAAGGCAGCCCTTGCCAAAAGGCTGAAACCGCAGCCACTTTTTAAATTACGACAATGGAACCAAGCAGAGAAGCGAAGAGGTCTTCAAGCCTTCCTCCCTACCTTCGTCTAAAACAATAATTTTGCTATGCCAAGCCTACCTGAGACTCCTGTTCTTATAGAACATGGGTTTTTAGTTCCTAAACTTTTTGTTGTAGTCAGGGAAGGCTAGGTTATGCTGCAGTGACAACCAGTTCCCAAATCTCTGCAGCTTATAATAGTAAAGAGTTCTTTCTTCTTTGCACTAGATCCAATGCAGGTCAACAGGAAGACTTCATTTACTGCAGCCTGTCAGATACCATCTGTCAGGTTTCATACTGTGGAAAGAGAGGGCTGAGCCGTGCACCAGCTCATACACACTTCCACCCAGCAGTGACACATGTCCCCTCACTCGTATTCCATAGGCAAAATTCTGTGGCTTATGGTTACACCAAACTTCACAGAGTGAGGGAGGTATCGTCTTCTTTGTCCTCAGACAAGGAGTTTCCAGTGCAAACACTGATAATGCCTACCAGACCACTCTCTTCCAGCCACACAGAGAACTTCCCCTCAATATCACTAGTTCTGAAACAGTGTCCATAAAGCATTGACAAATAATTGCCAGCAGGTGGAGGGAGATTTTTCACCATAACTCGCCAAAATGCCTCATAAAAATAGCATTTGTTGGCTGGGCACAGTGGTTCACTCCTGTAATCTCAGCACTTTGGGAGGCCAAGGTGGGTGGATCACCTGAGGTCAGCAGTTCAAGACTAGCCTCGCCAACATGATGAAACCCTGTATCTACCAAAATACGAAAATTAGCTGGGGATGGTGGTGGGCACCTGTAATCCCAGCTATTCAAGAGGCTGAGGCAGGAGAATCGCTTGAACCCGGGAGGCAGAGGTTGTGGTGAGCCAAGATCACACCACTGCACTCCAGCCTGGGTGACAGAATGAGACTCTACCTCAAAACAACAAAAAATGTATTTGTTACAGAGACGGCCAGAGATAAGACATTCTCAGACAGGTCAAACCATTAGTTGTCTTCCCCAGATGAGATTCAGCAAGCCTCCCTGCCCTGAGGGCAGCACACGCCACAGCTGAGCGGTTTCGCTCCGCGTGTTATTTCTCTCTCTGCCACAGTGCTCTGGATAATTGAAATGGAGAAAAAAAATCAATACCTCCCAAAGCAGCTGGTGATGAGTGTCTTGGATCTACAGAATCCTGCCGTCCACCACCTTCATGTAGGCCTCTTCTCCTGTGCTTGCCCTATGGCAGACGGGCTTTGGTTCTGACACAGGTGACAGACCCATCCCCATCTTTGAAGCTGCGGGCCAACGTTGGCTTTCCCCACCCAAACACACACCTACAGCACGTTGACACGTTCACACCTCCCTCATCGCTGTCTCTCTCCCTGGGATGTTTTCTCACCCATGGAACAGTCACTAACTTCCTAACTAATCTATGACTTTTCTAATTCTGTTCCCCCAAACAACTGCTAGGGTTTCTCTCTCTTTAGCTGCTCACATCTGCCGGCTTTTCAATTCCCCCTTTATGGCGCCTGGAGACAATGGAGGGAAACACTTGAGCTTTCTTTTGCTGTCTTTTGTTTTCATTCATTGCTTGGCAGCAGGTGAAGAGACACAGTAAGTGGCGAGTGAAAACATTCCTGTGCAGCTCCCAAAGGCAATTTCACTTCCTTGTCTCTTCCCCCATTTACATAAAGATGCTTTCAAGATCACCTTGTGTTTGCACATGCTGTACCCTTTTTAAAAAGATCCCTATTTGAGATTCTCATTTATATACGTATGAACATATACGTACAAGTGAAAATGTACGGGTACGTACATTTATGAACTTTTACAAGTATGAACTTATACATACAAGTGAAAACCACAAGATCTGCTCTCTATAAAGAGCCTACTATGCATCAGGCGATTCTTGTTCATTGCCTGTCATCCTTGCAACCACTCTGGGTTGGAGCTGTCTTTATTTTGCAAATGATACAGCTAAGACTCAAGGAGGGTAAGTAACCTGCTCAGTATCACATGGTAGGAAGTGGCAGAACTGGGATTTGTCCCCAGGTCCTCAAAGCTGACACTGTCTCCTTTCCAGCATGTAGCTATGCAGAAGCATCTGGTCCATTGTAGTGCTGTTATTGCTGCTGGGTGTATACCAGCGTCTCCAGGACAGTGACTACCAGTGTTCCAAAGGCCCCTTGCTTCCTACTAGAAAAGCTGGTGGCCTTAGACCCATTGTACAAAGAGCAGAAATTGATCATTCATCTCAGGCCCTACAGGGAGCCCAAAACAAAGTCTAGGCATTCAAGAGAGGTGGTGGAACAGAAAGAGGAGAGCATGAGCTTGGTTGCACGTATCCCTGTGTTCTGTTCTTCAGCTCTGCGAACTTGGGCAAGGAACCTAACTTTCTAAGCCTCAGTTTCTCCATCTATATAAAATAAAGATAATGAAAGTCCTGCCTTGTAGAATTATGGGGAAGGTCGGCTGGAACAGTTAAGAATGTGCTCTGCAGAATGCGTGGTACTGAGGAAACCCTCAATAAATGATGGCTGGCATTATCATTAATGCTAGCTGAGTAGTCTTCAGGGAGAGCATTTTATGAATGCTGAAGTGTTCATCTGATGTCTGTGGTCATTACTCTTCCCAGAGCTGTCCATCCATCTGGTCCAGGCCTGCAGCGCTGCTGGTCTGACCTCATACACCATTGCTCAGATCTCCTTCCGTGTTCCAGGGGCATGGTTTATTATCAAAGAGACATTTCTAAGCAGCTCGCCTGGGAGCTGTGCTCTGCAAGGCAGTTGTAAAGAGAGAGAAAGAAAAAAACTGTACCAAGGGGTAAGCTGAAGTTTATGTTCTTGTGACTTAGCTGGCAAAATCAGAGAAGTCGTGGTACAAGGTCACCAAACCACATACATAGCACCTTTAAGCAAAGGAGTTAGCAGCAAAGCTTTGTAATAGAGACCTGGTGCCAAGCTACAGGCCACCAACAAGGTTGGCATTAACCTCTCCACTAGTAGCCTGGAAATGGAGGACCCTCATCATAAATAAGGTGCTGCCATCATTTGGGTGCCCAAGCAGGTGCCAGGAGCTCTTCTGAAGACTTTATCTCTGGTGTGGTCATCTGATCTTCCCAATAACTAAGTACTGCCATTATCACGATGCTGTGCAGATCAGTCAACTGAGGCACAGAGAATTCGCACCACTGGCCTAGGGTCACACAGAGAGAAAGGGGCAGGACTGTAACCCAGGCAGCCTGGTTTCGGTGGCCATGCGCTAAAACCCTATTCTTTGCCTCCCCTTCTGAGCTGGGAACCTAATTTAAGACAGCAAGTGGGGTGTTGAGTGAGATCCCAGATGAGCCAGTGTTTGGAAGCCAGGAGTGAATACACCGGTGAAACTCTTACCCCTGAACCAGAAACGGCTCCTTGTGTTCCTCTGAGTAAACCTTGGCAGCTCTGCCAAGCCAGTCAGAGAATGTCTGGCTTCTCGCTGTTTTTGTTTAGACGGATACAAACACAGGGCAGACAGGAAAATTAAGGAGGGAATGTGATCAGTCTTCAGCTTTGCGGGAAACGGAAGGGCTGATGTGGAACAGTCGGCTGCGTAGCCTGGCAGCCGGTCTTCCCGACACAAAGTCATTTCTAGAGCCCCGGCCTTCTCTGTTCAGCTGACTCTGATTCTCAGCAAAATCCCCAGTGGTCCCGCGTCCTGTTCTCCCACTAAACTGTGCTCTTTCCATTTGCAGGTAACCTGGACATCACTCCGGACGACCCCCGCTGGATCGGAGCCTGGTGGGGTGGCTTTCTGCTCTGCGGTGCCTTACTCTTCTTCTCTTCCCTCTTGATGTTCGGGTTTCCACAGTCCTTGCCCCCGCATTCAGACCCCGCCATGGAGAGCCAGCAGGCCATGCTCCCCGAAAGAGAATACGAGAGGCCCAAGCCCAGCAATGGGGTCCTGAGGCACCCCTTGGAGCCAGACAGCAGTGCCTCCTGCTTCCAACAGCTGAGAGGTAAAGTGGTCTCATCCGCCGCTGCTCACAACAGTATGGGGATCGGGATGGTGGTGGTGAGTGAAGGGGTGGCACCCAGAAGTGGAGTGCCTGGGGACTTGGTGGAGGCAAAATAATATTGGCTTGCGTGACTGGCCTCTACCAGCTGGGCACTTAACTTATTCCTGAGACGTAAATAACGTGACTTGCTTAATACAAACAGAAATAAAGTAGCTACCATTTGTTAAAGAGACCCAGGGGTTAATACAGGACCTGACATTTAATAAACATAAATGTCTTTAGAAGGAAGCAGAATATCCCGTGGAGCTCTCTTGAACTCTTTCAGGCCACTTACAAGCACCTGGAAGCAATAAAGGACTTTTGAAGTTGGCTTCCTTTGCCTGGTTATCAGCATTCTTTAAAAAGCCACCTCCAGCCGGGTGCCGTGGCTCATACATGTGATTCCAGCACTTTGGGAAGCCAAGGCAGGCGGATCACTTGAGGTCAGGAATTTGAGACCAGCCTGGTCAATGTAGTGAAACCCCGTCTCTACTAAAAATACCACAATTAGCCAGGCATGATGACAGGTTTCTGTAATCCCAGCTACTGGAAAGGCTGAGGCAGGAGAATTGCTTGAACCCTGGAGATAGAGGTTATAGTGAGCTGAGATCGCACCACTGCACTTCAGCCTGGGTGACAGAGCGAGACTCCATCTCAAAAAAAAAAAAAAAAGCCACCTCCAAAGTACATTTCTTTTTCTTTTTTTGAGACGAGATTTTACTGTGTTGCCCAGGCTGGAGTGCAGTGGCGCAATCTCAGCTCACTGCAGCCTCCATCTCTTGACAGTCCATGGGTTGAAGCGATTCTCTTGCCTCAGCCTCCCAAGTAGCTGGGATTACAGGTGTAGCCACCACACCCAGCTATTTTTTTTTTTTTTAATTTTAGTAGATACGGGGTTTCACCATGTTGGCAAGGATGGTCTCGATCTCCTGACCTCATGATCCACCTGTCTTGGCCTCCCAAAGTGCTGAGATTACAGGCATGAGCCACCGTGCCCAGCCAAAGTACATTTTAGATTCACTTTGTCCTTCAATTGCCTCCACTAAAGATGAGAGATGTTTTCCTGCAGAAAGAAATATTAACTCCGTCTTAATAACACAATCACACGTTAGAATGCAGCAAAGCTCTTGCTATCCTTTTTTAAAGAAAAAAATGTGCAACTTTTCTGGCAAAATGGTGAAGCATTAACAGTGATGCAGAATGAGAATGAGAACCCACCACCCCCTAAGTTGTTTCGGTCTTCACAAAATCCTTTAAAGACGAGAATGACGGGGAGCTGAAGGTAGCCTGGCAGTCTCAGGAGCTGCTCAGTGGCTATCAGGCGAGGTACGCGTGGGGTTCCTTAATGCACACGACTCCTTATTCAGGTCCCCTGAAGTTCTGCTGGATTTTAGAAATGAGCGGGCTCATGCAGGCAGGAGCAAGGTCAGGCACTACTTCCCGGGGAAGCTGGGTTGCAAAAGCGGGGTGGTGAGTCCTCTGTGCAAGAATCAGGCACTCAGCCGGGCCAACCTTCAGCGGCAGCAGATGCAGCCTTCCCATGCTCAATTTAGATGTTTCCTAGCGGTGAAAGTCTGTTTACTAAGCTTCTGTGTAACAGTGTGCACCTTCTATGGAGACGCTAGAGATTCGTGGAGAGAAGCTTGGTCTGTGCTGTCCTCAGCCCCCAGTTCTGTTCCTCACCAAGCCCTGCGATCATTTACTCTGCCCTGCTTCATTTCCACGAGTGTAAAACTGTAATAACACGGTTCCTCACTGACATTGCTGCCTCGAGAATGAAAGCTTTGCTCCAGAAGACTGTCTGTGACTCGTACCTGTTAGTCCATGAGGAATCTGAAGAGCTTGTGCTGTCTCTGAAAAGAGACACATTTAATATCCTAATGTATGTCAGTTCCACAATGGTTTCTACCAGTGCTGGACTGTAATAGACAAATGTACAGTATTTGGAATTGTCCATAACATTGAAGTTCCAGAATGCCTTGGTAGATGAGAAGGTCAGCCAATTGGTGTCCTCTGTGGTTGCCTTGGCTTGCTTGGAATGCCCCCTCCCCCATGCACATGGGCTGAATAAAATAAGCTTAGCTCCAGCAGCCCCCAGGCAAGGAAGGTGCCTGCAACCCCCCCATCCCCACTTCCCGAGTAGCAGGAGGGTGATGCCTGCTGCTCCCCTAATAGAACAGCCATCCACAGAAAGCATCCCGGTAACCAGACCCCCAGGAATAAATTGGGCAGGTGTGAGAGTCGGGTTTTCAAAGGACACTCTGGCCCTGGGTGACTCCAGCATTTCCAGGTTGCTCCCTGTCTCAGGATGATGACCCTGTTTCCCTAGGGCTCTGATTGTAAGAGCTGCACTAGTCATCACTTATCTTTCATCTCTGAGTATAAAAAGATGAAAAAGATTTAATGGTGCCATCAGAGAGCTCACCATCCCACATAGGACCAGGCCTCCAAGTCAGCAAAGGCAGCCCAGTGTTTTGAGAACAAGCAGTCCAGGTGGTTACAGAAATGCAGCAGAGGCAGAGAGAAGCCCACCGCTCCTGGGCCATGCGTCGCGGTGAGGGAAGGGTCAGAGGCAGAGCTGAGCTGAGTCTTGAGAGCTGCTGTGGCTTCTGCCTTCTTAGGTTATGATTCCGTCGCTCATTAACTCATTTGTTTTATTCCATTGGTAGCTACGGACACCCTACTAGGTGCTGAGCATGGCCTTGACTAAAGCGGTTTAGATTCTGGAGCTTATATTCTGCTAGGGTGCAAAAGGCAAGGTCAGTGACAAAGTAAGCAGGCACTGCTTGAGCTGCCACTGAGCTGACCAGCACACAGTCAGGTAGACGAGTCTGCGACCGGCGAGGCCTCATTGATTACAGATTGTGATCTGTGTACACACAGGCTTCACTTCTGATGGTTAATGATTTTCATTTAGAATTAACAATTCCCAGAGGCAATTGGTCCATAATGGACTAAAAGGAAGAAAGTGCTTCTATAAGACTCTTTAAGAGCCAAAATACAGTGAAATGAGCTATTGTGCTAGTAAATTTTTCACGTGCCGATGCATGAAGTTGGGGCCACTGTCATTTACATGACTGATTTCTCCATGTGAGACTCATGTGGTTGCCGTATGAGCTTTGCCAAACTGGATGAAGGGTGTTGGAATGCCAGGTAGCCCTGCATGCTAGAAAGCCCATGCTGCCACCACAGTGTGCTGTATCTGCAGTGTGCTACGCATTTGTGGGCATTAATCAGCTGGACAGTGTCGCGTGTATACACAACATTGACACTCTTCAACCCTGTATGTTGCAATTTCTCATCTGTTTTGTCTGAGCTTGCAAATGGGATTCTTCTTTGGCCATGAATCTGTGTACCCTGCCATATTCTGCAACACCTAAGGCCTCTGAGAAGAGCTGGCATTGCACCAACAGGAGCCTTCCAGCCCCTGTCTGGAACGGAGTCTCCCCTGCTCCTGAGAGAGAATGGGGCTGCTGGCTTTGAGGTGGACCCACCTGGGTTCAAATCCAGCTCGGCCACTTCTTAATCATGCAGGCTTGGCCACGCCACTGAACGCCTCTCAGTTTCACATGTGGTGTCCGGTTTAGTCTTTACCAAAGCTGTGTAAGGTCAGTATCACTGTTTCTTCCTGTCTACAGATGAGGAAACCAAGCTCTGGTGATAGGGGGTCTGGGTCTCTGGTTTGATTTTCAGGGCACTGCACTAAAAACAGCAGGTTTCAAAGGCCTGCTTCCAACAGGGGGCCATCAATTGGGTTTGCAAACCTTATCCAAAGCTGAGAGATGGAGAGCCCAGAGGCTTGCTCCAGGATACCCTGGAAGTCCCCATCTCATAGCAGCCACCCCATAATCATCTTACTGTGCAGAAAGCAGATGCACAGAAGGTTGTTAGACTCCAGTATGTCCCTGATATGGGCGCCTGCTGAGCCAAGGCACGTGTTTACTTCTTGACTGTGCCACCAAATAACTTTCCTCTAAGATCTGGCTCTGGCCCTGCTCCTCCCTGACCTTGCAATTTGGATGACCTGTTTTTTACACAAAGCTGTGTGTGGGCAAGACTGCACCCAGTGTGCTGAATCTAGCAAATGCTCAGAGTTTGCACAATTGCTTGTGAGAGGCTACGCCTGGAGAGAAGACATTCAGGGGCTGTAATAGACAAATGCATAGAATCATCCTCAGATAGTGTGTTAAATCTCACATCCACAGTTTTGTGCTTCGTTGCAAGTTGTCTCCAGCGTCTCTTGCCCTGAGGGGCTTTGATGGACATGGCAGGGTCTCTTCTGCAGCTACATGTCTGTCTGCCTCCTCCCTGTAGCTCTTCACAGTCCCTGGAAGACAGTCTCTTGTTTGCTGCTGTTTCTCCCTGGAATGCCCTTCCTCCTTCAGTTCACTTCTGAGCCAGACTCTGTTCTCACCTCCCCAGGAAGTCCCCCAGAACCCCTCTATGTACAAGCCCCCATGTACCCAGTGCTAAGTTAGCTGCATTCCTCTGAGGTCCACGGAATCCCTTCAAAGCATCAGTAAACACATGACCATGGCAGTCTTGCTGCTTGTCTGTATCTGCCCAAAGGTCGTGCGTTTTCCAGGGACTAAGCTGTAGTTCATTTCCAATGCATGGAACAGTGCATAGCATGTAGGTGATACTGGTTGAATGAAATAATAAGTGAATACTTTCTTGTCAGCGTCATGTATGTATACATGTGGACACATGTGCAAATAGCAGGTAATGATTGTTTTTTATGCACTGTCATATTTCATCCCTGTAGCCTTAGGAGGCATTGGTACCATTTACCGATAAGGAAAGTGAGGCTTGTAGATAGGAAGGAAAGGCCTTTGAACCCTGGGCAAAGGCTCCAGTGTCTGTCTTTTTAACCATGGCATTATGCTGCCCCTTCTAACAGTAAATGGACACTCTCTTAAGGAATAAGTGGCATCAGCAGACGCTAACTGACTTCTTAACAG